TCGTCTCTTGCCCACCGATGCCTTCTTGTTCCAGTAGCCCACTTTTCGTCAGGGTGCCCTGGTTCCTCAACACCTGACGCGGACCTTGTTGATCCGGGCGGCATGCCTTCATATTTATCTGTCTCGCTCATGTCTGCGGTAGGCTTGCTTAGCATAGGGGGTCTAGCCTTAGGACCCTTACTGGATACAGACGCCCCAGGCAGGAATCGAACTTGCGATCCTCTGTTCCAAAGGCGTGTAGTCTAAGCCACTACGCTATATATATATATATATATATATATATACACATTAGGGGTGCAACGATACACAAAATTCTCGGTTCGGTTCGATACTTTCGTGTCACGGTTCGATATTTTTTCGATACAAAAAAAATGTTCATTATAAATATATATTTTAACTCAAAAGTACAGTTTTTAAATTTAACCCTAACCCTTGTGCGTGTTTTTGATTTTGACAGCGAATGCGCACCTGTGGACCACTTATGTGCAGCCCTGGTTATTTAGCTCGTCATATTGCAGCCACAGAAATTGTTTTGTCCATGAAACCATAAAGCTGCACTTTCTTTTTGCCTTATAGTCTGATTTGTCATAACTTCTCCGTTTTGTGGTAAGCTTTTCTTTGGCTGTCACTTCTTCACCCTGACCTGTCTTATTTGGCTCAGCAGAACTAAAATATATATCTGTCTGTGAAGGTTCTCAGTCATCCAGGTCATCGTAGTCAAATATATATCCTGCTGCTTTTACACACACTCACATAAGCTCAGCGATTCTCTGCGCGATCCACCTCTCACATGTTTAAGCTTGCTGCGGGAGATTTCACTTGTCATGTTTGCATAGTAAGCTAACAATTAATAAGACGATGTCAGAGGAATTGGTGCACAAATTATCATCACTCACAGATCAGTGCTGTCGCTCTCTATACACAGTTCGCACGATTGCAAAGTGAAAGCAAAAAACAAGCGCAAATTCAAACGCGATTTCAATATGTCACATATTGACAGTGGCTCACCGATGCCAATGACATAATTACCCAGCTACATTTCTGAAAGAATGCAAAAGCATTGACATATATTTTTCCTTCCTACAATAGCCCGATGGGCAGGGCAGAGATAGATTTTGGTAGCCCGACTGAAAAAATCGCTAGCCCCCGGACGTCGGGCTAGCGATATTGCGAGCCGTGTATCTGATTGAGGAATCACTCATCTTTGGAAAAGAGAGTTTATTACAGAGAAATGTCTCTTTCCAAAATAAAAGCTATACTATCCGCTTCTTCTGGGCTATATTCTCAGCAGCATATTAAACATATAAGGAGAATCATGTGCTAACAGCTGTCTAAATGACTCGGCTAAAGTTAGTAGCATGCTTGCTTGTTTTTTTGTCTGCTTCCACTTGTCTTTGCACTAGGATGATGTCGGCGTAAATGTGCAGTCATATTCGTTGTGTTCCCACTAGTGCTTTCAGGTTAATCTCGTTTAAATGACCTTAAAGCCACAAGACGGCAAATCTCCGTTAACGAGCTACCGCCGATCGCCCTGTGCATGGGGCTAGACGGCCAACACGTTAACGAGCTAACTGCGCTAACACACTAGTTCCCACCCATGTAATTGAGCATTGCATGGCACATCCAACATACTGTTTTACTTTAGTCCATGACTCGCTTACCTTCAGGGTCATACGTCACATGAAAACCAAAATAATTCCAAACGCCAGATCTGAATGAGGGTGGGGGAGGTTCATGTTGCAAGGAGAGCTTAACTTCTGTCTCGCTAGCTTGCCCTGCTCCTTCTGACGATGCTGTCTGTGTTGAGCGCTCAGTGAATCTGCATTCGACTACTCCGCCTAGGCTGCACTGTCGAGCCTAGGCGGAGTAGTCGAACGCAGATTCACAGAGCGCTCAACACAGACAGCATCGTCAGAAGGAAAGTTGATAAAATAAATTACAAATTTTGTATTGTTCGATACATATGCGTACCGAACCGAAAGCACTGTATCGAACGGTTCAATATCGATACGAATATCGTTGCACCCCTAATATATATATATATATATATATATATATATATATATATATATATATATATTGTTTTTCTAATTGGTTCTTAATTATTGCTCACCCCCCCTTTCCTGGCCCTTGACGGGGATAGACCAGAAGCCATTTTGGTTTCTTCTGGTTTGACTCACATTCTGAGAAAAGGGGCAATGAACAGTGAGAAGCTGTAAAGCATCATGCCAAGAAAGACCACTGCAAATTTAATTTTTGTTTTGAAAGTGTTAAAGAAGGCACATACAGAAGGTTCAATGTATTTTTTGTGGATCTAACGGTAAATGGATTGTCTCTCATACAGTCCTTTTCTGCTCCAGTGATGCACTCAAAGTGCTGTATAGAACATGCTTCATTCACCCATTCATACAAGTGCTTTTTTTCTATGCCCAAGTGCTTCCTAACATTTGTACACAATCAAACACTACTGAATCAAAGCATTGCAGAGCAAATTGGGGTTCAGTATCTTTCCCAAGGATACTTTGGCATGCAGGCTGGAGCAGCTGGGAACCACCAAATAGTGGATGGCCACCCTGTGTTCTTTAGAACACAAATGATAGGGTGCCAAAAGAGGAGTTGTGGTACTACATAAGGAAGTCAAGAGTGACAGAGAAGTATGTGAGGCTGGTGCAGGACATGTTTGTGGACAGAGAGACACTGGAGGGGTGTGTGGTAGGGGTGACAGATGGGGTCATTTCTGAGCCCCTTCTTGTTTGCAATTGTCATATACAGGTTGACAGATAAGGTCAAACAATGATGGCTTCAGCATATTGGACAGAGGAGGCATGAGTCTTAGTGGACTATGTTTCTAGACAACATTGTAATCTTAAGGGAGCAAGTGGAAGAGAGCCTGGAAAGAAGTGGAATGAAAAACAATTACATTTGCACAAATAAAAGGGGGATCTAAAGGTGTATGAGTTCAAATACCTTGGGTCAACCATCCAAAGCAATGGACAATGGGCAAGAGAGGTGAAGAAGAGAGTACAGCCAGGGTGACGTGGATGGGCACAAGTGTCAGGGGAGCAGTAGTGAAAGAGAAAGTCTAAATAGTAGTCAGACCTGCTTTGATGTACTGTTTGGTGAAGGTGGCATTAGCAAAAAGACAGGGGTGGAGCCTGTAGAATTCCAGTGGCTAAGATTTTCATCACGAGTGACTAGGATGGACAAGATTTACAAAGAGTACATCAAAAGGGCAGCTCAGGTTGAGGAGTTGGAAGACGAGGCTGAGTCTGGGTTGGACGTACGGAGGGATAGTGGATACGCTGAGCAAAAGATGTTAAATATAGAGCTGCCAGTCATGAGAAAAAAGGAAGACCTCAGAGGAGGTGCATGGATGTAGTGAACAAAGACATGCAAGGGGTTGGTGTGACAGAAGAAGATGAAAGAGATGAGCTGCTGTGGCAACCCCTAAATGGAGAAGCTAGATGATCTGCTGCACTACAGGTCATGTGGTTCACGACTCTGTTGCCTTCTTTCTGGAACCAAGCAGCACGGTTTCTCCCACTAAACACAAACTGGATTCGATTGCCTTGTAGTAAATAAATTGCCCATTGTTTTACTATTCAATTCCATCATCGCATTCATGCTTTGTAGTTGTAGCAGTTAATTTTTGTGAATGTGCTTGAAGAGGCTTCCTGTCTAAAATAATGATGGACTTTTTAAAAAAATCTTTACTTAGTTTAGCAAATACTTACATAATGTAGATTGCAACAGTAGTTAAATAGGGGTGTTTGGGGCATACCAGCTTGTAGTCACAAACATAACTGACTGTCTTAAATGTATTGTTTAAGAGATTGCGACTATTGTGCAAAGCTATCACCTGTGAAACTGTGAATACTGTGAGTTTAGCTCAGGGGTAGGCAACTCCAGGCCTCGAGTGCCGGTGTCCTGCAGGTTTTAGATCGCACCCTGGGTTAACACACCTGAATCAAATGATTAGTTCATTTTCAGGCCTCTGGAGAACTTAAAGAAATGCTGAGGAGTCATTTAGCCCTTTAAATCAGCTGTGATGGATCATGGACACATCTAAAACCTCCAGGACACCGGCACTCGAGGCCTGGAGTTGCCTAGCTGATACAGTAAATTGCAGCATAATATTAATTTAGGTAAAAGCATTGTAAAGGGCGATTTTTCATGGAGAAGTCATGGCGATGATAATATAGTCTTTTGTCAGTAAAGTAATTCATATTTCAGTAGTGTACAGTTCACTCAGCATATGTATTAGTAATTCAAATCAGTTGTGGTGGAGTTTTTGAACTTCTTTGAATGTTATCTTTCAATTACTATAAAAATAAACAAACTAATAGTTTAAGTCTTCCCTTAGTAACTCCGATAGTATTCCTGTTTTAAAAGAGCAGTTGCACCCAGCTATATAACCTGAGTCAGGTGAACGCTTGCCACCTGAGCCCTTTGATACTGTCAGAACTGTAAATAATTAACCAGCGCGGAATTATACTGGGGCGGGACACAACTGCTGCCAGGGTTATGAAGAGGAAGCTGGAAAACTTTTTGACAGAAGACGACAGAAGTCTTAGTCCTAAGACTAAAATAACTGGAATAACGGTCTGTGATCGAATAAGACAGTTCAAGACAATTTTCCAATATAAGGGTTAAGCAATATCAGGGAGTTAAATCAATGACAGGCCTTGTAAAGTTAGAGGGTAAACGAAAAACCTGAGGAAATAAAACAGAAAAAAATGCTGAAATTTTAATTTTATTTTTCTTATCTGACGAATTCCCAATCATAGCTATGCAAACAGTTGTGTGTTAAACGTGCAGCAGATTAAAAAAAAAATACTGCAGATTTTTCTCTATTTCTGACAACAGCACCCAGCAGGTCATGGGATCCGCATGAAACGCTTTCAAATATTTGATTGGTCCCGTTATGAGAAAGTTGTTACATGATTGGCCATGACTACTGCCAGTAATCCATTCTTGCTTGTGATTGGTTACTCTGATGTTTCCGCTACGCCAGCTTTTACCGTTTTCCCCTTTCGTCCTTCTTCCTGCTGGTCTAATCGGTTTCAGTGGTGCTACACCTGCTCGTTGTTTCACAGTTTTATCCCTCTATCACCACAGACAACATGGACGATTTTGACATGCTGAACGCGCCCAGTGCTGGAAACGGTGTCGGCTCGGAGGAGGACCCCGCTGCCGCTTTCCTGGCCCAGCAGGAAAGCGAAATTGCGGGCATTGAAAACGACGAAGGCTTCAGCATCTTGGACAGTGGAGATGTCCCCTCTTCGCTAGGAGACACTAACGGTGCGTGGCTGTTATCCTCAAGCGAAGAAAATGTCGCTGTATGTTGTCTGTTTGGCGTCATTAGTGATAGAGGATTTTGTGTACGTGTAACTAAACGTTCAACATGCGGTTAATCTAGACGCTATTTTGGCCCTGAACGGACACTAAAGCTAAGGCTAACTGAGCTAGCAGATTAGCCAAGTGGACATGGTTAGCGTTGATATTAACCTGTGTAAGATTACTTTGAACTCACAAGGAACACGTACAGGTGAAACTTGAAGTCCTTTATTAATACATGCTATTTTATGCTGAAATAAGCTACTGCTGCTGGCACTGCCACTCATTGCTTTCCAATTAACTTGATTGCTTGCGGCTACATTTACAGCAGTTTGTGTCAGCCACTTAGGAAATGGGCACAGCTTAACAACCTTTGTTCATGACTTACTCATTTCCTCCAATCTAGCCTCAGTTGTAGGAATTGTTGGTCAGAAATGCTGACATCCATTATTACGAAACAGGAGTGCATTTAGCAACAGTAATTGGTGCTCCATTAGACAAGTTCAAGGCATGGTAAAAATCTCTTTTAGGACATTTAATATTTCAAGATGTTTTGTCATGTTTATGCCTTAATTTGTCTGCTTGATTTCTAACTGCAGTCTCACCTCTACCTGTTTTAGATGGTGCCATCAATGGAGAGCTTCATGGGGTAATGTCATCTGCTCTTTAGTTATCATGTTGGAAATCACCTTGTGTTTGTTCCTGTGTTTTGTGTGTATAAGTGCACAAAGGATTAAAATCTTTTAATACAGAAATTATTGTTTGTGTATGCACTAACGTATAGTGTTAAAGGAAGAATAAATAGAGGGATGAAAAGGATGGTCTGTACTAAATGCCTGCACCATAAAGAAGGATTTGAATCTACAAAACAAAAAGATAATCTGAGTGTGTTGAAGTTGCTTCATAGTACAGGGCCCACAGATGCATTGATATACAACAATGAGTGGGGCCTTTTCTGGTACAGACCTATTTGAAATTGGTAAGACTGCAGACTTTCAGCACCATGGCTGCTCATGGATGATCTGCAACCAGTTCAGTGACTCAAAGTAGTGCCTGATGGCAGGCAATTGGCCTTCAGTAAAGATCAAAGGGGGTGATTTATTAAAAAAAAACAAAAACATTTCACTCTGTACAGCTTACTAGCATCAGTTTAAAAACATGACATTGAAGATTCTCATGTTTGGATTTAAACTTCTTTGCTTCTTGACACATTTCATTTTAGTTATGTTCCTTGATTTCCTGGATAATTGCTGTTTGTTATATAAATATAACAAACAGCAATTATCCCTGAAATTCATTTACTTGAATACTAAGATTTGCTCAAGAGATGTTTATATATCAATTCTGCTGAATTTTCACTGTGTGCGTCATTGGAAAATACTAATTTCCTTTTAACACCGTAACAGTGATTTTTAGTAGCCGAGCTTTTGAATATTTGTCTGTTAGTCACTTCAGCTTCCTTTTCCTGTGCTGTCATTGCAACATTTCTTCCTTTCCTGTCAGTGAGAGAATCTTCTAAGAGTACATGTACGCTATGCGTATTGGGGTGTGGGGGTGCGGAAGCCAATTCCACTTTAATGACAACTTTCACATACGGGTTAGAAAAATGAAACACTGAACATGAATGGATAAATAGCCAAATCATTGGAAATATTGATAAAACTGTGCTTACCATTTTGCTCCTTTCTCAGGAAAGCAATGGTCCATCAGATGCCTATGCAGCAATTTCTAATGCAGACCGACTGCAGGCTGAACCAGAAAGTCTACGTAAGTGGAGGGAGGAGCAAAGAGAGAGGCTGGAGGAGCTAGGTAAGCACCCAGAAGAACGCTTTATTATAGGGTAGGACAGAACACTGATATGTGAGATGTGATAAGTAAAGGTGGAGATTTGGGCTGTGCTATATCACATTGTCAACGATAATATTGGTAACAATTTTTACATGATATAAATTATCATGTTGCAATACCGTTGCTATAGCAATGCAAGGGGTTTACTTTGTGAGTGACAGTGTGTGAACCCCAGGCATCTCTGATCGCTAAGCATTAGATCCTTATGACATTTAGTACCTTTTTAATAGTTTTTGATCTAGCCACTTTTGTAACATCAACTTGTCTTGTTGTGTCACTGTATGCAAGTATCATCAGAAATATTATCGCAGATTTTTTTATTGAAATATTGTTGTGTAAATGACCTTCCTTTACTGGATATTCCACATACAGTGTTAACCAATTATTTCTGTCCCTGTTTCCTTTCACATCATTATGTTCATCATCTTTTTGGGGATGTTTATTCTTTTATCAGTCTCTGCTCTTGAGCGTGATTTCTGTATTTTTGCGTTTACTTCTGCAGATGCTAACTCTCGCCAGCAGGAGACGGAATGGAAGGAGAAGGCCAAGGTGGAGCTGGAGGAATGGCATGCCAGGCAGAATGAGCAGCTGGAGAAAACCAAAACCAATAACAGGTACTGTAGTCAATGATAGTCAACGCATAGAAACAGGATGGAAGATCAATAAAAATGAAAGAAGACTGTGGGGATATGTGAGTTATCCCAGCTTAAAAAGAATGTAGATCTGTCGGTTGTGGCAGGGGAAGAAATGATGGCCATCCGGTCACTCAACTTCTGTATCCTTGAGTAAGTTTACAACTAATTACTGAAATTTGTATCCATATGTTTTTTTTTCAGGAAGAATCGGAATAACCTATCCTTGAATTTCAAGAAACACAGTATGCTGGTCTCCCCATTTGTGTGTGGCATCAGTTTTTGTTTCAGTTGTCTACAGGTTCATATTTTAAAGAAAATCCATTCTCTCTAAGGGGAAATCTCATGTGGCTTTTCACCACCTTTTTAGTTAAAATGCTATTTGACCTCTACTTATTCTTCACACTAAAAGGCGCACTTAAAATCCTTTAATTTTCTCAAAAATCGACAGTGCACCTTATAATCTGGGGCGATTTATGTATGAAAATGGACCCATTCATCGACAGTGCACCTTATGGTCCAAAAAATACGGTGGAACCCCGGCTTACAAAGACCCCATTTAACGAAAAATTCAAGTTACGAAGGCACTTAACTGCAATATTTCTGCCCGTGGTACAGCAAAATGCCCGCGTAACGAAATCTGCTGGCTGAGCCCAGAATGCTCACAATGCCTTCCAAATCATGTGAAACTCCTTGGCTTTCGTACTTGCGTTTCGCTGTTCACGTGAAAGACGTATTGTTGTTGCAGTGCGCTATTTCGTGTGCTTTTCGTTTGCAATTAGCCTATCGTTCATTCATAATGTGGCCGAAAAAACTTTCTGCAAGTGAAAAGAAGAAGCGTAAAGTGCTCTCGATGGAAACAAAGAAATTATTGATAAATACAGTGGGGCAAAAAAGTATTTAGTCAGCCACCGATTGTGCAAGTTCCCCCACTTAAAATGATGACAGAGGTCAGTAATTTGCACCAGAGGTACACTTCAACTGTGAGAGACAGAATGTGAAAAAAAAATCCATGAATTCACATGGTAGGATTTGTAAAGAATTTATTCATAAATTAGGGTGGAAAATAAGTATTTGGTCACCTCAAACAAGGAAAATCTCTGGCTCTCACAGACCTGTAACGTCTTCTGTAAGAAGCTTTTCTGTCCCCCACTCGTTACCTGTATGAATGGCACCTGTTTGAACTCATCATCTGTATAAAAGACACCTGTCCACAGCCTCAAACAGTCAGACTCCAAACTCCGCCATGGCCAAGACCAAAGAGCTTTCGAAGGACACCAGGAAAAGTATTGTAGACCTGCACCAGACTGGGAAGAGTGAATCTACAATAGGCAAGCAGCTTGGTGTGAAAAAATCAACTGTGGGAGCAATCATCAGAAAATGGAAGACGTACAAGACCGCTGATAATCTCCCTCGATCTGGGGCTCCACGCAAGATCTCATCCCGTGGGGTCAAAATGATCATGAGAACGGTGAGCAAAGATCCCAGAACCACACGGGGGGACCTGGTGAATGACCTGCAGAGAGCTGGGACCAAAGTAACAAAGGTCACCATCAGTAACACACTACAACGGCAGGGAATCAAATCCCGCAGTGCCAGACGTGTTCCGCTGCTGAAGCCAGTGCATGTCCAGGCCCGTCTGAAGTTTGCCAGAGAGCACATGGATGATACAGCAGAGGATTGGGAGAATGTCATGTGGTCAGATGAAACCAAAGTAGAACTTTTTGGTATAAACTCAACTCGTCGTGTTTGGAGGAAGAAGAATACTGAGTTGCATCCCAAGAACACCATACCTACTGTGAAGCATGGGGGTGGAAACATCATGCTATGGGGCTGTTTTTCTGCCAAGGGGACAGGACGACTGATCCGTGTTAAGGACAGAATGAATGGGGCCATGTATCGTGAGATTTTGAGCCAAAACCTCCTTCCATCAGTGAGAACTTTGAAGATGAAACGAGGCTGGGTCTTCCAACATGACAATGATCCAAAACACACCGCCCGGGCAACAAAGGAGTGGCTCCGTAAGAAGCATTTGAAAGTCCTGGAGTGGCCTAGCCAGTCTCCAGACCTCAACCCCATAGAAAATCTGTGGCGGGAGTTGAAAGTTCATGTTGCTCGGCGACAGCCCCAAAACATCACTGCTCTCGAGAAGATCTGCATGGAGGAATGGGCCAAAATACCAGCTACTGTGTGTGCAAACCTGGTAAAGACCTATAGTAAACGTTTGACCTCTGTTATTGCCAACAAAGGTTATGTTACAAAGTATTGAGTTGTATTTTTCTTATTGACCAAATACTTATTTTCCACCCTGATTTACGAATAAATTCTTTACAAATCCTACCATGTGGATTCATGGATTTTTTTTTTTTCACATTCTGTCTCTCACAGTTGAAGTGTACCTCTGGTGCAAATTACTGACCTCTGTCATCATTTTAAGTGGGGGAACTTGCACAATCGGTGGCTGACTAAATACTTTTTTGCCCCACTGTATGAGCGAGGTCCTCCTCCACCAAGAACTTCGTCTTCAGCCAGCATCGTCTCACTCAAAAGGCGATGGAAAATTTTGACTTACGAAAATTTTGACTTACGAAAGACCCTCTGGAATGAATTTATTTCGTAAGTCGGGGTTCCGCTTTATTAAGTTTCCCAGACACTGGAGTTATTGTTCACTGCATGTCTTCAGTCATTAAAATTACCTATACCTAAGACAAGTCTATGCAATTTGCTGTTATTTCAGGAAATTTAATAACTAATGTGTGATATTTTAAGGAAAACAAATGGAGTCAAATATTTCCTGTGAGGTAAAAACACTTTTTACTGTCTTTTATTATCACAGGAGGGTTCTGTATAGAGATGCACCGATTGCAATTTTCTTGGTCAGTTTAGATATTTTTCTGATCTGCCGTTACTGATTTTTGCAGGCTTTTAACTGACAACAGTTACAAACAAAACTCCACCTTTCTTCCGTGTAAAATAAACTGTAATTGTCAATAAACTTGACAATTACAGGATCTTTTTTTTAAATTTAAACTACTTCAGTGCAGTATAAATAATTATCTGAAAATAAGCTGTTGTACACCCACATTTACCTGAAATGACTTCACCAGATAACAAGACATTGTCTTCTTTTTCTCTGTAATTTTCCTCATAACCGCTTTGATCCTTTGCTCATCCTCAGGCTGCCTCTGAGCTCTGGATAGCTTTAGCTACTTTTCCTCTGTTAGTTTCTTTAAAATGTCCATGTTTAAATATCTCTTTAGATTTGTTGTTCTGAACGTTTTTGTTTTCTGTTTGTTTGATTAAGCCACCCTTGTTTCTTATCTCACTTCCGTGCTAACAGTGTAGCATGTGGGTAGGTGTGCAACTAATAGCCTGTGCTGCTGTATGTGAGTCATACGTACATTAAAAGGACTGGCTTATAATCGGTCATATGGGAGTCTGACTGATCACCAGACAAGGTGTAAAACACTGAAAATAAGCTGATTCCAATTTATGAACGGTCAATCGGTGCATCTCTACTTTTGCATTCATGACTTGATGCAGGTAATTTACTAAAGGTCATGACATCTCACGACACATCCTGTGGGTGACTAACAGTTTGAGGTAATCTGCAGAGCTCCTTTTACCGTATTCTGGCTTCAGAAACGTATAAGGTGTAGAACAGGGTAATGGGTTTTAAAAATAGTGGCATTGTAAAGCGCTTTGGGTGCCTTGAAAAGCACTATATAAATCCAATCTATTATTATTATTATTATTAGTAGTAGTAGTAGTAGTAGTATGTCGAATGCACAAATGTTTTTTTTGTTTTTTTTTTTTTTCTTGTGTATGTGGGCGGGAGTTAAACGATCCCAGATTGGAAAAATGTTCTTTTTCCTCCATGGTCCCTTTGTGTAGTGGGTGATGACAAGCCAAAAATTTAAAAGCACAAATGGCACTTAAAGTGGTCTCGTCTACTCCTCAGCACAAATGCGAATGATTCAAAAGTTGCGCTTACGTGTCAGACACTGCACTGCTGTTCAGCACAGCAGCTGTTTCACCTGTCACATGATTTTTCTTACAGCGTTGCATGCACTGATGTGGGGTTACGCTTATTGTTATAGCTATAACATACTGGGTTAAGAGATTCCACTGTTAGGCTAATTAGTTAAAAATGTGTCAAGTATTCAAAATGTGAGAGGTATGAAGAACTAAAAGTGTGTTGTGCATGACTGGTGCAATGGCATTAAAGATGTAAAACTTTCTTTAAACAGTCTTTAAATCCCTCTGACACTGATCAAACACCTGATTGGTTATATTCCTAAGCATATTATTGTACGGTAACTTGCAGTGCTTGTGTTTCCATTCCTCTTCTCCCTTTTACCACTTTCTCTCTTTTCTCCTGCCTTCTTGCTGCTCTGTCGTTTGGGCGGATATTTGTCCAGGGTGTTGGATGAAGACTTCTACAAGCAACCCTTCTCTGAGCTCATTGGTTATGTGTATGTTGCTCCAACTAACATCCTCCTCTTATTGTTTATTTGTTTTGTTTTTTTCCCCCATTGTCAACAGCCATTGACATCACATATCTCTTAGAGCATCAGTTTACCTTCTTTCTGCTGCCATGTGTTACTTTCTCCTTCAGTCATACATTTGAAGTGCTTGGATTCATAATCGTTACTTTACCTATCCAGCTTGAACTTTTTCCAAATATAAACTGCATTTATAATTTGAACTCCATATCCATATCATCTGCATGACATTTGTGAGTTTGATGCCTGTTGGTATATTTCAGTAACGCATGCCATCACATCCATGGAAATCAAATGAATACTTTCACAACTGTGCCCATGTTAATTTCTCATTCATTTCTCTTTGATTCTCTTCAGCAACTCATTATCCAAATGCATTTCATAAATTTCTAACAATTAACACCTGCTTAAACCAACTGCGTAAAAAATTAATGAAAATGTTTTGGGTTTTTTTCCACTTAACAACTTTATTAATGTTGGTTTTCTTGTTTTACTTACAAGTAAGATATGTAGAGATGGGTTGAAGCAATTGTGTGTGGTTTTTCTTTTCCTTAATCTCATATATTATAATCATGGCCAAAAGTTTTGAGAATGACACATTTACTGGTTTTCAAAGTTTGCTGCTTCATTGTTTTTAGAATTTTTAAAAAAAAAATTTTCTCAGTTGTTTCTGTGATGTAAACCAGTATAATTACAAGCACTTCATAAGTTTCACAGGCTTTTATTGGTAATTACATCAACGTTATGCAAAGAGTCAATATTTGCTGGCTCTTCTTTTTCAAGGCCTCTGCAGTCGCCCGGGCATGCTGTCAGTCGACTTCTGGGCCAAATCCTGAGTGATGGCAACACATTCATTCATAATCACTGCTTGGAGTTTGTCACAGTTAGCAGGTTTTTGCTTTTTCACCCACATCTTGAGGATTGACCACATGTTCTCAATTGGATTAAGGATAGTTTCCTGGTCATGGACCTTAAATTTCAATGTTTTGTTCCCTGAGCCACTTAGTTATCACTTTGGCCTCATGGTATGGTATTCCATCATTCTGGCAAAGGCATTGTTATTCACCAAACTGTTCTTGGGTGGTTGGAAGAAGTTGCTGTTGCAGGATGTTTTGGTAAGGCAAGGCAAGGCAAGTTTATTTGTATAGCACAATTCAACAACAAGGTGATTCAAAGTGCTTTACAGAGACATTAGAAACAAGACAAATAAAAAGCATGATTTAAAATTGATTAAAACAAGCAAATAAACTAACTAATTAACAAACAAACAAACAAACAAACAATGGTAGCATTCTTTATTGGGTGAATGCCATAGGCCAGGAGTGTTGAACTCCAGCCTCGAGGGCCGGATATATCTTCACACTCCTGACACTCACGGTTAAAGAATTTTTTGATACCGTTGACCGTTTCCCCATGAATTATGTTTGTTTCAGGATAGGAAATCTGTCCTTCTCTCAGATTTGAAACTTTCAAACGCTTTTTTTCCTCTCGTATTCATTTGTTTTCACGGCAAAGAAGGAAATTGCTAAACTGAAGCAGCAAACTTTGTGTAGACGGTAAATCATTTCACTTCACAATGGTACTTTTGAGGTTTCTTAGTATTATATAAACATCAGCCTATAAATGATTAAGAAAACCGTAATTATTTAGAAACACATGCCAGGTTTTTTCTTAAATGCTGAATGAGCCTGGAGTTCGTTTCCAGGCAGTAGTAATTATTGCATTTATTTATTTATTTTTTATATATAAGAAATGTGAAGATATCAAATCGTGGATACACAACTGCTTCAAACTGAGCTGTGTTCATGCTTTATTAGAATGTTAAGATGACCTGCTGATACGCCCAGCTAGCTATCGAATAGCTTGAGCTGTGCAGCCTTTGGTTCTGCTATCAAATTACTTGGGTATATCCATTAGCCTTCATTGTGGTGTGCACGTTTTGTTGCTGTCAGCTTAGTTGCCAAATGTAAGAATTTAGATTGGTGCAAAACCTGGTTTCATGTAAAGAAATTCCAGGCCTCTTGTTATTCCTACATTGCCTCCAGCATTTTAAAGTGTTTAGTTTCTTTCTTGTTGAGCTGCTCATCTGAAAATTAGCATCATGTTACCGCTGTCGTTGTGTTATTTGAATAGTCCTTTTCTCAAAATGTGCACACCCGTGGAGCTTTCCAACTTATTGTTGTACTCACCTAAACACAGAATGAAATTTTAGTCTTAGTAATGCAGAATGACACTGAATCTTAATCGCTCCACTTCCGTCTTCCTCCATCTGATTGGTGTCACTCTATACCTACTATTTGGAGGAAGTGAGAATTGGAGTGTTATTTGCAAATGTAGGAACATTGTGTGTTTATAATTCATGAAAAATGTGAGCTGTTGGACTCTGTAGATCAGATTACTGAGATGATGCAGATGGTTAAATTTATTAACTTTATTACAGATTGAGAAGCTGATATTTTATTTATAGAAAACATAGAAGATCAGTTCAGTTTAGCAAACCAAAGGCTGCACACTAATCATTTTCATTTTTAGGAAAATAAAGCCAAAAGAAAAATGTTGCTTTTGCATGCTGACTTTAAACATCTGCATTTGAGCTCATTTTTGTTGTCTTTTATTTCACCCCCCCCCCCTCTCTTTCTTTCTCTCTCTCCTAAATTCTGACTTGTGAAACTGTTTCTCCCTGTTTTCTTTTCCTATGCACCTTAAAGCACACATATTAACCATCCTTGCTACCGCCTAGACCAGTTAAGTAAAAATATAAAACCCCAGAATTTCAAAATACTTTATCATTTTCACAGGGGTTAGATGCAGTTCTGTCTGTGTATGTGTTTATAGTGCATTGCAGAGGTACCCAGTTGAATAGCACAAGAGTTAGATCCAGAGCCTAGAATTTGGTATAATGTTCCTCCTGTGATGTTGTGGTCCTTCTAGTCCCTTGTGTATTGTAGATGGTTGTGAAAGTGAATGCTCATTAGCTTCTCACCTGCCCTATTTTTCTTTGTGTACTGTGTTTAAGTTATTAGCTCAGGTGGGGTGGAGACTACAAAAGATCCTTTTAAGTAGAACCAAAGAATAGCATTGAGTTTCATGTTTGTGGATGGGGTGTCACAAGAGTTTAGCCATATCTGTGGCTTGAATCTCAAATTGCCTTGTAATAGTGGAACTGATCAATTTAATTTATTTTAATTTGTTTTTGTTCTTGTTTGCATTTGTTTAACTACATAAGTAATCTTTGTAAAGGCCTTTTTTTGGTCTTTGATGGATTTAATGAACCCACACCCGTGCCTAAATATTTTAAAGTTAATTATCTGTTTGGCATTTGAGACACATAATTTCAACGTCAGCGCATTCCTTGCCACAGCTGAAACACCCCGCTTTTCTGCTTGCCAATGCATGCTTAATGCATTTTTTTTTTCGTTTTGTTGTTTTTCTGCTAGGCTTGATTAAAAATCTGAACATGTATTACTGTTCCTATTAATCAAGGACAAGTATACAGATAACTACATATCACTATACTTGGTTCTTGTTGAGTTCCTTAATGAACAGCAATTTTATCCAGCCAGAAACACGTTTTTCTTAATTTATTGTTGTTATTGTTGTTATTATTATTATTATTATTATTATTATTATTATTATTATTATTTGGGGGGTGGGTTGGTTGTTTTTGGCTTGAGCTTGATATCTCATTGTTGTGTATATATCTCCCCCTGATGTTGAGAGTAGAATATACAGGTGACTTGCTGTATTCTGTAAAGTGGGGGGCATGCCACAGGTAATGTAGCCGGGAAAGCTTGTTCCTTGTTGATTACTCAGTTTTGGGAGTAAAGATAGATGGATGTTTGTGTGTAGTGATTGGACTGTCCAGCCCTGAGGTAGACGCTGCTGAACTAAAAAAGTCCAACCCAGACAAAATCAGATGGAAAAACTGAGTTTTTAATGCCAGGCTTAAAGTTCAATTTCAGTGTAACCAAAACTGAGAACTTGAGTCAAAATTTCACTGTTGGCGCCTCTGACTTTGTCTAAAGAACTTGTATGTGATGTTAGTCAGCAGAGATCTTCTTCAGGGCTGCACAGCTGTGTATCTTACGACTTCACACACTGATGGGCTCGCTCTTCTGTCTTTTCCTCCTTTAATGCTTACAGGGCGGCTGAGGAAGCCATGATTTCAGATCTGGATGAGAACAACCCAGGCACAGAGTGGGAGCGGGTGGCACGGCTCTGTGACTTTAATCCCAAGTCCAGCAAGCAGGCTAAGGATGTGTCCCGCATGCGTTCGGTCCTCATCTCCCTGAAGCAGTCCCCACTAGTCCGCTAGACACCCAAGGCTGCTCGGGAAATCATTCCATATCATCTTTTTCCATGACACGTCAACGAAACCAACTTCTCATGCCCCTCCATTTGTATTCTGATGTCAAGGGGCACTTACACCCCTGTGTCCATATCTGTCAGTCATGCACAGCCTTGTTTCCCCACCTCACAGGGTATAGTCACTTGCCTTACCCTGATGTATTTCCTCCTGGCAGGGCTGTAAAGATTAGCCTTGATGTACCTGCTCACTATTTTCTGCCCCTTAAAGATTTTACCTATACACCTCTTTAATAAATCAGTCAAGACTTTGTTTCCCTTGTTTAGTAAAAATGAAATCAAGGACAGATCTACACAAGGTCTCAAGGTGTGTGTGACAGTTGTGCAAGGGTGGTGAGTTGGGACACGAAAAGGGAAGGGCTGACATTTGTTTGGGCCAACAGCTACACTACAGTGCTTTACAATGCCCCCCCCCCCCCCCCCCCCCCCCCCCGATATCATTCCTATAACGCTGTGTTGTCACTGTTAATCTGTCAGCCTCATTAATATTTTTACTTTTGAGAGTTGATATTACATGGTTTCATTCACATTTCTTTCCGCAGCATGTCCAGTACAAAGCATTTCTGATTTTGATTTGAAGGACCAAACTCTTCAGACAGAACTCCAAATTCAGTGTGTGTACTTTAAACTGTGTGTAGAGCCTGCTTGTGGCATATTGTGTTAAACTATGCATTTCTTTTGAAAGCCTCTCCCCCTCCTAGTCAGGAACTGAACTGAAGTCCAGTCATTACAATAAATGTGACCTATTTGTATGTGTGTTTAAACCTCAGCAGTGTATGTACTTGATGCGTGTACCTATGTACATAAACAGAAGGCAATATATATACATTATATAAAACATTTGTCACTAAAATTAGACATTTGTGGGTTTAAAGAGAACTAGATCCTAGCCAGATGTTGGTTGACCATGTTTGTTTGATGTCCATTTGATTTCAATATCAATAAAAAGTAAATTAAAGATGTTGTTCTGCTGTCCTTCAACTTCATATTGAATATCTAGTCTTTGTTTAGCTTTTTTATTTTTTATCTTGAGGTCAGAGTATAACTCGATATTGCTTCAAACTAAGGGGAAAACAATCTCAGATTTGCATTAAATGTTTTTATATGAACTTTACCACATTGAAGACTCCTTTTTACTGTCATCTAATGTAAATGTATTGATCAACATTTTTATTTATTTTTTGCAACAATGGTGACATTGCAACATCACGCCGATGTCATATAAAACCTTAAGGTCACACCACGGTCTACCTGCTATTAAATGATATGAACACCTATGTACTATTACACTATCAAAAGTACACAACCCCCCATTATTGGGAGACCGTTAACAGAACGCAATGATGTAAAAGTCTCAAACTCATATTCTCATACTCACAAGATGAATAAGTTTCAACAGACAGATTTTACTATTTTACTTAGAACTCTGTTCAAAATGGTTTGGGTGTTCATATGTGGAAGTTGCAGATTGTAATTGCTCCTCAGTCAGATGTAAGACTCAAAAACCAGTCTTATTTGTAATCATCTATTGTCCACCTGAGCCTTACAGAGTTTGATTTCTCAGACTTTTCATCTGATTTAGTGCTCAGCTCAAATAAAAATCTTTATTTTGGGCAATTTTAACATCCATGTAGATACTAAAAATGACAGCCTCGACACAGCATTTAATCTGTTAGTAGACTAACAGATTAAATGCTGTGTAGATTTAGTAAAATGTAAAAGAACTCACCCACCACTTCAATCACTCTCTAGATGTTGTTTTAACATATGGCATAGAAACTGAACCTTTAATAGTGTTTCCTGGAAACCCTCTCCTGTGTGGTCATTTCCAGCTAACATTTAAATTTACAATAATTGATTACACAGCAGTGGGGAGTAGATTTCACCACAGTAGATGTCTTTCTGAAAGTGCTGTAACTGATTTTAAGAATATAATCCACCTACTGTTGTCATCTTCAATGCCCTATACCAACATAGAGCAGAGCAGCTACCTGAACGTTACTCCAAAAGAGGTCGATTATCTTGTTAATAATTTTACCTCCTCACTACGTACGACTCTGAATACTGTAGCTCCGCTGAAAACTAAGGCCTCAAATCAGAAGTACCTGACTCCGTGGTATAATTCTCAAACACGAAGCCTAAAGCAGATAACTCGTAAGCTGGAGAGGAAATGGCGTGTCGCAAATTTAGAAGATCATCCTTTAGCCTGGAGAAATAGTTTGCTGCTTTATAAGAAAGCCCCCTGTAAAGCTAGAACATCTTACTATTCATCACTGATTGAAGAAAATAAGAACAACCCTTGGTTTCTTTTAAGCACTGTAGCCAGGCTAAAAAAAAAGGTCAGAGTACTGCTGAGCCAACTTTTCCTTTAGTGTTAACTAGTAATGACTTCATGAACTTCTTCACAAATATAATTTAACCGTTAGAGAAAAAAAATACTCATAATAATCTCAAAGATATGTGGCTACTTTTAGTACCATTGATATTCATTGAGTCTTTTTCTCCAATTGATCTTTCTGAGTTAACTTCAATAATTACTTCCTCCAAACCATCAACATGTCTTTTAGACCCCATTCCTACAAAACCACTCAAAGAAGTCCTTCCATCAAATAATCCTTCAATCTTAAATATGATCAACCTATCTCTAATAATCGGCTATGTACCACAGGCCTTCAAGCTGGCTGTAGTTAAACCTTTACTCAAAAAGCCATCTCTAGACCCAGCAGTCTTAGCTAATTATAGGCCAATCTCCAACCTTCCTTTCATATAAAAAATCCTTGAAAGAGTAGTTGTCAAACAGCTAACAGATCATCTGCAGAGGAATGGTTTATTTGAAGAGTTTCAGTCAGGTTTCAGAGCTCATCACAGCACAGAAACAGCTTTAGTGAAGGTTACAAATGATCTTCTTATGGCCTCTGACAGTGGTCTCATCTCTCTGCTTGTCCTGCTAGACCTTAGTGCAGCATTCGATACGGTTGACCATAATTTTCTATTAGAGCTATTAGAGCACGTTGTAGGTATTAGAGGTACTGCACTGCAGTGGTTTGTATCATATCTATCTAATAGACTCCAATTTGTTCATGTAAATGGAGAATCCTCTTCACAGGTCAATTATGGAGTTCCACAGGGTTCGGTGCTAGGACCAATTCTGTTTACATTATACATGCTTCCCTTAGGCAGTATCATTAGAAGACATAGCATACATTTTCACTGCTATGCAGATGACACCCAGCTCTATCTGTCCATGAAGCCAGATAACACACACCAATTAGTTAAACTGCAAGAATGACATAAAGACCTAGATGGCCTATAATGTTCTGCTTCTAAGTTCAGATAAAACTGAGGTTATTGTACTCGGCCCTGAAAATCTAAGAAATATGGTATCTAACCAGATTCTTACTCTGGATGGCATTACTTTGACCCCCAGTAACACTGTCAGGAACCTTGGAGTCATTTTTTACCAGGACATGTCCTTCAACGCACATATTAAACAAATATGTAGGACTGCTTTCTTCCATTTGCACAACATCTCTACAGTTAGAAATATCCTGTCTCAGAGTGACGCTGAAAAACTAGTTCGTGCATTTATTACTTCCAGGCTGGACTACTGTAATTCATTATTATCAAAAACTCCCTGAAAAGCCTTCAGTTAATTCAAAATGCTGCAGCAAGAGTCCTGACAGGGACTAGAAAGCATATTTCTCTTACATTAGGTTCTCAATAAAATGTTTAAAGTTTAAAAATTTGATATGTTTTATGTGTCCTATATTGTAAATACAAGATGTGTAGGATATTTTTGTTTTGCTTTTTGTTTACAGTTTACACAAAGACATAATTTCTGTAGTTTTGTTGGTATGTGGTGTACAGAGTAAAAAACACAGACAGTAAGTTGTGCCTGAAGTGAAAACTCAGCTTTCAGGTATTGTTTGAGAATTATAGACATTTTTATATGTATTCCCCCATGCTTGACAAGTAATACGATTTCCATCAGTTGAATTGATCAGACTAGGTCTGTTAAATCTGATGGCTGAGCAAAAATCTATTACAATCACTAATGCTTGAAATGGTGTGCTGTTTGCAACGGCAGGTGCCTACTCTCTGGACAACAGAACCTACAAGGCTTTGTTATAGTGGAATATAATAATGTAATACCATAAAAGCCGTCGTGGTATCAACATAGATTGAATTAGACCCTTTCATAAGGTCAATAACAAGGGCGTAGATTTGGCATGGACGGAAGGGACATGTCCCCACCAATATCCAGCGATTATTGAATTGTCCCCACCAATAATTTGATCTCTTCGAGTAAAGAAAAACAAAACCGATAGAAAAAAAAGCGATCTGTCAACGTCTCATTCACCCAGCGGTGAAGAGTTAAATTACGTTCTCTACTGGAGTCCTATATCATGTGACAAATATGGCCAATGTGATTGGCTGTGCCTTTCAGGGAGCTCTGTTTAGTTTTAGCAGCGGCAATGCTGCGCTGCAAGGATGGCAGTAAAAAGAACCTGGATATAAGAAAGTATTTTTCAAAGAAACCTGTAAGTCACTTAAAGTCAAGTTCACTCATAAAACCTGTCCATCATAATAACGTTACAGGCTATGCAAGGCAATACATGCCAACCCTCCCGTTTTTTCTCGGACAATCCCGAATTTCAGTGCCCCCCTTATTACTCTTTCTGGGTTGCAAAATAAACGTTTAAAATTTTTCAGGCGAGAATGTAGCTGTGCAAACTTCAAATATCTGAGCCGGGAAGAACAGCAACCTCCCGGCACATCGTTTTAGGCTTTGGCCCACATCAGTCTAAAATTGTATGTAACCATGAACAACGCGTTACCATGTCCACCAGGAGAGACTGGACAGTATAGATGTAAAACAAATATGCCAGCAGTTTATCTCAGTTAATGAGAGGAGAAGGCATGTGTTTGGCTCCTTCACATAGTGGACATTGAGTTGTTGTGTGGGACACCAGTAGTCCATGTCTGTTGCTGTAACAGTAGTTCATCTTTAGAGTAAAACATCCCAGCTCACTGACTTGATAGGGGCAATAGTGCCTAAAATGTTGCATAATTTTGCTAAGAGATCTGTTACTTTGTGGTAATCTTAGATGGGTAGTTTTATGGACAAAACCCACCAGGTCATTCAGTGTTCCCTTAGTGCTAATGTATAAGAGATGTTGGTGTAGTATAACTGAAGTAATGTTGTTAAGTCCTTAAAGTCATATTCTTTTATTCTCATGAATGTATTTTAAGCTATTTTTATTTTTGTATGATATCTCATTTATATGGAATATGGCTGAAGTAAACTAAAGTATAAAATACTTAGTCAGTCATTTGTTTAATAATAACCTAACATTATATAATTCACATATAAAACTATGAATTGTAATTTTAAATGGTTTAAAAGCATGTAGAATAGCATATGTAGGCAAGTATATTTCTCCTTTTTTTATTATCAAGAAGCAAAGACGAAAAGGAAAAAAAGAAACAGGGCAGGGTTCGGTGGTTGGATCATCCGTCCCCACCAATGCCAAAACCAAATCTACGCCCTTGGTCAATAATACAAGTGAAACTTCACAAACTAAGTAAACATTTTTTGGTTTCCTAGTGGCATTCTTTCTTTGTCCTCTAAGACAATGATAATGGAAGCTTCAAAGTTTGAAGTTATATGGGAGTCATAGAGATGCATTAAAGTAACAGAGCAACTGAACTAAGTAAACATTTTTTGGTTTCCTAGTGGCATTCTTTCTTTGTCCTGTAAGACAATGATAATGGAAGCTTCAAAGTTTGAAGTTATATGGGAGTCATAGACAGTGGCGTGTCCAGCGGGGTGGCCTGGGGGGGCACAGGCCACCCCCCAACCAGACTGGCCACCCCAGGTGCCACCACAAAGGCAAAACAATAAAATTCAATCAAATATCAAATGTACGATTATGTTTTCACGGTGAAACTCAGATATCCGAGTGTAAGTGAATGCAGCATCGGCTTCTGCGCTATCACGTTAGTAAAGGTAGGAGAGCCAAGCGCGAAAGAGGCACTGCAGGAAACAATTTTTCGGTGAAAGAGAATGAGGACAGAATAAATGTCCCGGTAAGTAATATTAAGTTTGTTGAGTTTAGTAAACTTCGGTGAAATTAGAATCCCAAGGAAAAAATAACACTAAAAGAATTATTGCAGCCGTGGAATATATCAGACAGTATGCTACTGAGGGCAGCTAACATAAGAGTTATGAGTTATAAGATATAATCTAAGTCGTAACATTGCTGTATGGAGCTGCAGATTTGGTTGCAGGTTAACATAGTGGGGTTAGGGTTAGGGTAACTGGCCATCGGGCATACCGGGCATTTGCCCGGTGACTTATTTTTTATTTTTTTTTGTAATGGCATGAACAATGAGAGGTGGTGGATTGGCCAGATGCAGGTCGATGTTGTTTGGTGGTGGCTATGGCGGGGCTTCCACAGAGGCCAGCAGGTGGATGAGGTGAGGGGAGGCAGGAGGAGAGACCCGAGGCAGCCGCCGGTCCGAGCGTCAGGTGAACTGAACTTCAGGTAAGAAGTTATGACCTGCAGTCTATCTGGGTCAGATATAAACCAAGTTTAGGTGGAGTTTATTTTCGTTGTGCTGACTTTTTACCGTCAGTTACAATAACTCGTACTGCGTTCTAGCCAGCTTGACGGAGTTTTTATACAGTACAGCTGGGTGGGTGCTATGATGTTACTGATAGTGAACTTTATTTTATTCATAAGGTTAGTTAGTAGAGTTGCCAACGGCTCCTTAAAAAAAATGGAATGGTCCCTCATTCAGAGAAAATATTATGCGTTTGGTATTGAGCTGAGAATGTCACGTGGTGGAGAGAGACAAGTTACCTAGGTTTTTTGTTGTGCATGCTTTTGTTGTGTTTTACCTTTTTAATGTTTTAATATTGTACATTGGGTTATTTTTATGAGTTTTACTGCATGTTTTAATGGTATTTATTTGGTGACTTGTCCTGGAAAGACTCCGCCCCTACCTGATAATAAACTGATCACACCTGCGAGAGATCCCAGAGAGGCCAATACGAGGGCCTGGCAGACCACAGGAAGGAGTTCGACCGAGAGGCAAGAGAGGACCGAAGCATGAAGGCACCCATAAGTGTCACGGGAACCCACGAGAGCCTGGAGTGACACGGAGGCTTAAGAGATGAGGCCTGAGAAGCCTGACGTGAGGCTTCAGAGTGAAGTCACAGAGGCGTGACACATGGCGTGGGACATGAGGCCTGACATGAGGTTTGAGAGCGACACGAAAAGAGTGACACATAAGACGGGTTGGAGCTTGGCGTTCCAGGGAGGACGGACAGCACCAGCAACTAGGGACGCGGAGCGAACAGGCAGACGGCAGTAGTAACGAGAGCCCAGCTTGTGCACTGCGGGAGAGCAGAGGCGAGACAGCTGGTGCCAATTTGCAGTTTTAAAGAAGCGGCGGGCGGAGTTGAGAGCTCTGCCCACCCGGGGTAAGTCTTCGACTTATCCCCTTTTTTTGAATGAAAACTGCCGAAAAGAATAGTGACTGCCGCTCCCTCCCTTTCTTCAGCGTACCAGGACGCGGAATGCGGGGAGGAAGGCGAGGACTCCGCTGGGTTTCCCTTTTACATCACTTCGCTGGACTTTTTTAGTTCTTTGTGACTTTTATATCGTGGCGGATGCCACTGGACTTTTAATGTTCTGTTTTATTGATTTTTATTGTGTTACCCCTTGGCCAAGGTTGTTTTAATTCATTTTGCATTTTTAATTATTTAAATATAATAAATTATATTTTAATTATACAGTTTTTTAATCGTGTGCTTTCCCTTGGCGGCTCCACTGCTCTGTCCGTTTGGAGGAAGGTTTCCTTCCTTTAGAAAAAACACTGTGGAAATAGAATCACCTTCCCTCCGTTACAAGAAGAGACGCAGTTTGTCCCGTACCTTTGCTATAATGAAAAAAAGACACAAAGCTGGAGTTATTCTGTGTCTTTGCTGCACAGCTGCCTCTTCTTCTCTCATCCTTTCACCCTCCCTCTCCTGTTGCTACTTCAATCATGATCAGCTGATCGGCTTTTCTCTCTTGTTTGTTTATCGCCCACTTTGCGCCAGAAAGAGGAAACCAGCAGATGTCGCGCTAAACAACAGCTGCACGTTTAAGCTTGATCAGCTGTTGTTAGAATTTATTTAACCCTTGGTAGTACCTACGGCCATTTATCATCCACAGCGTTTTTTAATATTAGGCCATTTTCACTGTGTTGAATAGAATATAGCCAAACCTTCCAACCCTTTTTTTTTTTTCATTTTTCTTTAGAATTGCCGTCTCCGTTTATTCGATTAGCTTAAGGTGGCTAAGCTAAAAACCGCCATCCACATGAGGTCCTAGAGCCATAAATCGCCCCATTGAAACCCATTATAAACGCTATTTTTCACGCCAGAAAAATTACGGTCAAAGGGATCGTCAGGTTTCCAGCTTAGGTTTCGTTTTGGACTACAGGCCTTAGAGTTGTAATCTTTTTATTTGTCCACCGGGTGGCGCCCTTGCTTCACATTTGACCTCTGCTGGAAAACAGCGGGCTGCTTGGACAGACCTGCCGGAAATGAAGCCTCATCTCCGGCGTGCAGCAGCGGCTTCGCCCGCTGATCGGGCGGGACCATTTTTTGGTCCCTAGGACCATGAGAGGGTGCATTTTTTTTTTAGTCAACAGGAAATGACGTATTTGTTGTCACGTGGTATCGGGCGTGTGTGCTGGAAAAAGGGGTCCCCGGTGATCGTGCCCCGGTAATCGTCGCGACTTACCCCGGCAAGATGCACTTATTTCGGCCTAGAGGAGGAGCATTTGCCGCCTGGAGACCATTTTCTGGTCCTGAAAAAAAAAAAAAAAGGCGATCGAAATGAATGTTGGTGCCAATCTTTAGTCCATCTAAAGGCCTAATTATAATAACAATTGAATATTACCTCAAATGTTTTTTTTGGAAAATATTCAAGTTTTATGTTTTTTGGGGCAAAAAAAGCAGTGCGCTCATGTGACGAAACCGGGATATAAAGGGTTAAAATCCGCGAAATGTAATTAAAACTTGACATTAATATTTCAAGGAGAAGTAGTTTTAAAAGACTGACCAATTTAAAGTGAAAAAAAAATTAATATTTAATATTTTTATTGCACATTTTGGGGAATGGACATAGGCTTAAAGGTGGATGCATTTTTTTTTTTTAATGTGCTCCTGCAAAAAAAATAATGGCAGGTCAAAATGAATTTTGGTGCCAATCTTTGGACCATCTAAAGGCCTAATTATAATAACAATCAAATATTACTTCAAATGTTTTTTTTGGAAAATATTTAGTTTTTTTGTTTTTTGGGCTAAAAAAAACAGGGCGCTCGTGTAATACAACTGGGATTTAAAGGGTTAAAACAACGAAAATATAATTGAAACTTTATATGAATATTTCAGGGAGAAGTAGTTTTAAAAGACTGACCAATTTAAAGTGGAAAAAAATATTAATACATAAGATTTTTATTGCACCTTTTGGGGAATGGACATTTATGTCCATTAGGGACCAAGGTGGATGTCTTTTTTAGGGATCTCCAAGGGAGAGCTTTTCAAGAATATTATTTAAAAAATACTTCTCTTCTCTTCTTAGGACTGTGGTGCCGATTGTGCAAAATTCCAGAAAAGTGAATTAGAGTACAAATTCAGCAAACGAGCCTTGGAGCGCCCCTACAATTCAAAGCACTCCTGGGGGAAAACGTACGGTGACCACAAGCGTCACTTGGAGTTCAGTCATGATCAATACAGGGAACTAAAAAAGTATGCAGAAGACATCGGCATCTTTCTCACCGCCTCTGGCATGGATGAGGTATAGGATAAAAATTATGATTAATAGGAGTGTGCAGTGAATTTCACTTCAATCAACAGGGACAGTGTGGTACTCAACAATGTGCTGAGTATTGATGCAAGAACATGTTCTGTTGTGTTGTGGGGGGAAATTTAAATTTTGTAAAACCCCATCAAGGGTTAAGTGGACACAAAATCAAGGTTTATTGCAAATCAATATTAAGTTGATGTCAATAATTACATTTATCCTCTGTCCTTGTCATTGTGGTCTCTTCCAAGATAAAAAAAAAAAAATACTCCACTCCACATAGCACAAGGAATCCCTCAATAATTTGAGAAAATGATGTGAATAGTATGCTATGACCTATTGAGACACCGTAACCTGTCTGAACACCTATGAGAGATAATGGCCAAAGGCAAAATCTTTTGCAGGATAATGTTCCGTCCTTCCTGTAGATCTCGGGAGATTTACACACTCAGTGCCGAGACACAATAAAGCCATTAGGCCTGATGTACTCCATCTTAGCTTTCTTTGGTTATATGATTGAATTTTTCAGTGCATATATGTATCTGACATCCATAGATGGCTGTGGAGTTCCTTCATGAGCTGGATGTGCCCTTCTTCAAAGTTGCCTCGTGTGATGCGAACAACTTTCCATATCTTGAGAAAACTGCCAAAAAAGGTACAAGGCATTTTGCGAGTACTTCAAATCACTCTCACCTAAACTGTCATGGGAAACAGCAAATCTGCAATGTACAGTGCATTTTATAGCTGATCCCACCTTGTGGGTGTAGGCCTTAGTAAAAAAAAAAACAAAAAAAACCCCCAGCTCCCTGATAGAGACCTCATTTGAGCGCTGAAATAGTGGGCACCATTAAAACGTACAACAACATGACAACAAAAAATTACAAAATACTGCTACACTGCTATTTTATTTATAAATATCACCTGAATTTTCTCTTTTATTCTGAATCTGTCAGTTTCGTTTGTCTGCTCTGTCATGATTAGCTAATTTTCATTATTAAATTTAACTACCGATCTTGCATTTATGCCCATCTAAACAGTATATTGGATTACATAATACATATGTCATTGTCAGGGCGACCCATGGTGATATCCACTGGGATGCAGTCTATGGAAACCATACGGCGTGTCTACAAGACCGTAAAGGAGCACAAGCAGAACTTCACCCTCCTGCAATGCACCAGCGCCTACCCTTTGGATCCTAAAGAGGTCAACCTCAGTGTGATCAAGGTAATATTGGTGAATAATTTCCTCATACTCAGTCATCATGTTCTCTGATTATATGCTTTTATTGCAATCCATAGCAGCAAACAAGGGAACGTTCATGTTCCAAAAAAGGCAATCCCTTCAAGCAACATTCCTCAACACTTTTAGTAAAAATGACAATTCTTAGGACACTACCTGAACCTTCAGTTTCCCCATTCAGATTAGTCTTGTCCTCAGTGGCAGCTACTCATGGCATTTTTTTGTTTTGTTTTGTTTTTTCTCTCCTTTGTTTTTGGCTCTAGCTGTTGCTGCACACATGAAGTTTGGTTTTAGTTAGTTTCTTAAGCATAGGAAGATTTCCCATTGCCAATTATGTTAATTAAAAAAATTCTGTCAGACAATTCTATTTTATAATATATTTTCAATTTTTCACTTATCTTATTTATTCTTTTTTTTCTTTTCTTTTCTTTTTTTTTTTAAAATGTGGCAGCAACTGACACTTCTAAGAAGCCATTTGACCTCACTCATAGCTACTCTCTGGTGATCTGCTCCCACAGTGCAAGGAGGACTCACAGTTCTAACTCCTGTGTTATCACTTCCTCAGGAATCTTCTTGAATCACTCTTCGCACCACTAATTATATTTAGCATCTATCAGCAATCACAACACTGGAAATGCTTTTAACAGATCAAACACAATAAATGTGAGATTAATAATAAAGACATTTAGTAAAAGTAATTATTTGTAGTTCTACTCTGGTACTGAGCCGTTTAGCCTTTTGCACTTGACTCTTTGCAAAAAGTTTAATCTCCAGTGCCTTTTTAAAGATTTATTATTTTCTGCAATTATACCATTAATTGCTCCTATCATTAACGATACAGATTTTGCATCTTTGTGCAATTAAGGAAAAGACTGCCCAAATGTATGCTAGCTTAGCCTCTTATAAGGATCGGCTGTATTAGCATGCCTTCTGAAACATACCTTCTTAAAGTTACTAATTCCAAACAGATCCCACATTATATATCCCACTGTCTATACCATGGAAAATAGCAGATCAAAGGTCTATGGAGCCTTGGCAGTTTCCAGCTGGACCAGTTAGTGACCGGTGTTGTGTCCATTCAAGTAATCACATCACTGTGGTTGCTGAGAAGGTTTTAAACTGTCTAAACAATAAAGAAAATTCTCTCTGGATTATGGTGAACAGTCCCAAAGGAAACTAAAAGTCATATGAAATGGAGCGCACTGGAGAGGTAGAGTGTGGGATTGTTTTTCCATCTCTTCATACATGGCACATTGCCAGAGATGAAGACTCATTAACCACATTAGTAGAGCAGGTCATTGTAGTAATCATTTCGAAAGTCCTTCTTGTCAACTGTAAACATCTTGTTGTCAACAAGAGAACAAGACGTACAAGCTAACACAACATTTAGCTCAACAGTTACTTAACTTCAAATCCATTCTTTAAATGTTATATGATATTACAGTGTCATCTTACACTATCACAAAGTTTTGTAGGTACTGTTTTCTAGAGAGAAGGAACCTGCCAATGAAAGACTTGAGAAACCAGTGTTTGTTTACACACTTTGCTTAGATGTTAAATTAAATTGTCTATGTGTGACCACTGTATTGTATGAAAGTGGTGGGTACACAAACAGGCAAACAAGTTTTTTACTCTGATTTTTCCATTTTTTCTGGAAGACATTCCAGGAAGAATTTCCAGATGTTCCAATTGGATATTCTGGACATGAGCAAGGCATCTACATCACTGTGGCTGCTGTTGCAATGGGAGCAAAAGTTGTGGAGCGCCATGTGACCCTAGATAAGACCTGGAAGGGAAATGACCATGAGGCATCCCTGGAGCCCTCCGAGCTGGCAGAGCTGGTCCGAGCAATCCGACTGGTGGAGACGGCAATGGGGTCACCAGTCAAGCAAATGTTACCATGCGAAAAGACCTGCCATGATAAGGTCAGTTTGATTCATTTAGGATGAACTTTAGCAAAAAGCTAAATGTTGAGACTGGAAGTCTGCATTTCAAGCTTGATTTTTTATTATTTCTCACAAGTGCCACTTCGTTAATTTAATTCAATTCAGTTTTATTTATATATCACCAAATCACAACAACAGTTGCATCAAGGCACATTATATTATAAGATAAATAACGCTACAATAATACAGAGAAAACTCCAATAATCACATAAACCCCCATAGCTGAATTAAAGTGCACTAAAAAATTACTGGGGTCCCTTTTGTACAACCACACACATTTCACATGTCTTTGTGCAAGATATTTCTCTGTTATTCTGTTCCAAATATGTCTATCTTTTTACTTTAAGTGCATATGTGCCAGAAATTAGACACTTGGTTGATGTTACATAATATAAGGTTTATAGTAAGTCTCATTTCATGTAGGGTCTATCCATCACGTTTATTTTAAAGTACCTTTTGAATTTTCTGCCAAAGGGGGCTTGGGCCTCTCCCTACCATCACTGGGCATGAAACAGGTTACAGCCTGGACAAACAGAGAGACAACAATACAATGTCACATCCATGATCAATTTAAAATCAATCATTAACCTAAGATGTTCTTGCACTTTGGAAGAAAACTCACTGTGGGAACTTGCAAACACAAATAGATTCATACATTAATAGTGCTAACAATTTCAGTGCCACGTTGTGTAATAGCAGCTTATAATTACCATAAAATACATACTTATGGTATAAATTTTATTTAGAGAAACAAAGACTAAACCTTGGCAACATTTGGCAATGTGGCAATACCTTATTTGTGAGATAGATCAAGTTGTTCCCATAAAAATGATAAATGTTTAGTATTTATATGTTGTTAATCTATCTGTGATTTCTGTATTCTTTGTTTTCTGCACAGCTGGGCAAGTCAGTGATAGCTAAGGTGGCCATTTCCAAAGGTACAGTGCTCAGCCCCGACATGTTTGCCGTGAAGGTTGGTGAGCCAAAGGGCATCCCTCCAGAGAACATGCAGAACCTAGTGGGCAAGAAGATCAAAGTGGATGTGAAGGAAGATGACAGCATCTTGGCAGACATGATAGAATGAATAACCTTCAAAACTGTTGGAATAGAGGCAGCCAGAAAAGGAGGGTTAGAAAATGTAGAAAGAAATTGGACAGGTGATGTGAACAGATAGAGAAACAACAAATAAGGGAAGAAAATATGGGCTTAAATGAAGATAAGGTGTGTATCTGGTCAAATTAATGGGAAGAGCGGAATTGTCATTCCTCTGCATAATTTGCACAAATAAAGCAAATTAAATGTGAACATGTCTGTACTTCAGAATTAGAATGCAGCTTAAGGTGCTCTATCTGTATGCTTCCATGCACTGTTTGCATGTAAAGGCAAAAATATCTGCATATTCTCATGTTAGGAATGAATGTTTACATTTATAGCATCAGATGCAAATATATCTGATATGCAAACATTTCCCCCAAAATAAGGAAACAACTGTGTATGAGATTTGTCAAAACTGACACATGCACTTTATAAGAATATACAAACACCTTCACTATTTTGTGAGTGATTTTTTTCCTGCTTCTGTTTTCCCAGCACACATTATTGGGTGATTATGGTGATATATGGTTATATAGGTTCCATACCAATCAAACACACCTTTACCACCTCTGTCATTTTTGCAGGCTTTACATTTGGAGAAATGATTATGGTCCTGGATTTTTTAATAATTATCCTTTAAATAAAAAAGTTCTGAAAACATCTAGTTTGCATCATCTTTATTCTGGAGTGATTCATCCCTTCCCATCCAAACATTTAAATATGGCAAAATGTGTCAATACAGAGGCTTCACACCAATTAGACACAGATTAATAAACCCAAGATGGTAACATTAGATATAAGTATGCAGTACTGAGTATAATTAGGTGTTAGGTACACATCAGTGTGTAATTTACAAACACAGTTTACAAAAACAGTTTATAAGTTTAAATATAATAATGACATTTTTTAACCTTAGAAACAGTGGAATCAACATTTAAACAATCGTCTCTATTAATTGTTCATGCCATCACAAAAATGGTCAAATCATTTATATGCAAAATAGTTAAATGTACATTTATAACTAAAACAAATTTTGTCAAGTTTTATAAACATTTATTGCAATCCATGGCTAATTCAGGGAGCTAATAGTTGTTAGTGAAATACAATGGGTGACCTCATCAAAAGTGAAGATCATCTATCGCTTAAGCATTTGTTAGTGGAAGGCCAGCAGTACCACAAAAGTCTCGGCTATTTTTGACATGACAAAAGAGAAAAGAAAAAAATGGAAACAGGCAAAGGACAAAGTGATAAACAGCATACAAATCTTTATTGCAAGAGTCAACCTTAACCCGCTTCAGCTTTACAGAATACTGCAATGAGAGTGTGAAGGATTGGGAGGGGTTTAGGAGAGAAGCATTGAGCAACTTAAGGCACAGGCTACTCTCAGCTTGAATATACTGAACCTCCTGCAGTTAAAATTCAACGTTAATTAGGTTATGCTTCTGTGGACTCATTTTCCACAGCAGCACAGAAGCTGAGGGGCAGCTCGTCCCACAGCATAGCTTAAAGTTCATTGTTAGCATGGAGGAATTTGGGGCAATTTGGACATTTCATAGGTTTTGCTTTAAATAGTAAACTCAAACACCACTTTAATGTTGTAAAACATCGGGTTGTAGGTAACAAAAAAAGCTAACTATTATAAATAATAAATAGTGTTACATTTCTAATTAAGTTGGCAAGCAAATAGCACGTAAAGTTTACTCTAATGAAAAAGACATGAGCTAAAATGAATAATAAAATTCTTACTTTCTAACTGCTGCTTGCCAGGTAAAAATTGCTGCAGCTTCAATTTGTTTCAATTTAAACCCAACTACAAGACAAAAACAAAAAACAAACAAAAAAGCTAGCTAGTCATAGAATCAAAGAGGATATTTGGTTATTATTTCTGTTTACAATTCCTATGGGGTTGACTAACAAACTGAAGAAGCCCTGTGTTATTATATAGGTACTAATGTATGACATGAACCAGCTTGTTTGCATTTTCTGTCTTGGGGTTCTCAAAATATACAGAAACAAATAAATAAATAAGAAGTACAATCTGTACATCCTTTAAGAAACAAATATGCAGACCAGACAGCAGAGGACACCACAGAACATCCATGTATCATCCACCAAACAACACCATAACACTCCTTGAGTGTCTTTAAAGCAAGTCTCTTAAAAAAACTCTTTGAAAAAATGTTAAAGAAAGGGAAAAAATTGTGTCCCTTTGTTTAATTTCAGGTCTTCCCCGTTTAAGGCCACCTTCCCTTCCCTGTGAGCAATGATTCTCAAACTGTGGGCGCCCTCTACTGGTGGCCATCCAGCCATTTAAGAATGGGTGCAGACAACCAGAGGAAAATTATTGTGAAATTACTTTGAATTCATATAATAATTTCTTAGCAAAAATATAGAATAGTTAATTGATGCTGTTGTCCCCATCTAAAAACAAAAAAACAAAACACATCTAACCTTTCATTAATAACTGTTGATTTAAAGAACACAATAATAAATACACTTATAAGGTGGAGGTTTTTGAAAAAACAACACTAACTCTTATTGGCTTCTCTTCAGAAATAGAAGGCTTGATTAACTGGTGTATGAGAATACTGTACTTACATTCAAAGCTTCACTGACTATTCACACAGTTCTGAAAGTATGTATCAACCAACTGACTCAAGATTTCAAAACTCTAAACACAGTTCTATTTGTCTCACCAATATTAACTTTATAAATCTTTAAAAATTCCATCATTTAGATGTGTTTGGTCGAGGTAGAAACACTGGTGTTCAAAATGCAACATACTGAATACCAATTAATCTTTCTCATGTTGTGCCTGAGCGCACTCAATTGGAAGGACAATTCAGCCATGTGTCAGGATAAAAACAAGGCCTCAAGTGACTTATACAGGTGTTACGAAACAAGATGGAGAAGCAAGAGCACAGAGGAAGAGTGATTGGAAGAGGCCTGTGAGGCAACAGAAGGCAATGTTCAAATTGTTATTGTCTTTTAAACGGACCAATTTGTGTAGCAAAAACAAATAAATATTTCTTATGTTATCTTTGTGATTTTATTTGTAGTATTTCCTGCCACATCTACATTAAATTAAAGTACTCAGGTTTGCTACATACACTGAAAAGTTGCTCATACATGTTCTTCTAGAACCATTTTCTTAATTCTGTTGTATAAACAAGTTAAACATGAATTTTCAGTTTGTCTGCACTGAGTCATCTCAAGTGGGTGGATTTATTTATTTAATAAATTCTTCAGACATTGTTTGCTTTGTGTTAAGACTGTCCTCTCTTTGTTTTACTTTCTGTTTTAAGACCACAGGCTGTTTATGTGAGACCAGGACCTTCATGTCTTTGAATAGGCTAAATCAGTTACTGCTGTTGGGCAGGGCTGAACTGAGATAAAATAATCAGCCCAGGCATTTGTGGTCCAGGCGACTCACCATGATCTCTATATATCATTTCATTTTGTTTGACTATTGATTTTAACATAGGTATTAATCGGGTCGGTACAGTTGTTGTTGTGTTATTTCTCAGTTGCACTGCAGTGTGTGATAATAATTAAAATCTACTATTAGCAAATGGTTTATGGTCAAAGCAGCCATTGATTTTACCCGAATCCCTGAATCTATCCCTTCCTAATTATGTCCCTCCATCTATTTTCTCACCACGTGAAGGTGAAATTCACGTGGTGAGAAATTCACGTGTCTCTTCCTCAGCACCAGCAGCCTTCTCTGATTGTAAAGCTTGATTATTAGATGCTGCTGGTACTTCTGTTACAGTCACAGCCAGACCGATGCTAACATGTCGGTTAATCTCTTACCTCAAAGCACACTGTGTTCTGTTGATTTTATGTGCTGCACAATAATGTTTAATATTTAGTATTTACTGTCATATTCCCATATATCATTGTGATGTTGTTTATTCTATTACTCTTGTTCTCTTCTGCTTGCTTTCTTTTTTCTTTCTCAGCAGGTGATCCAGGTGATTGATATATGCTTCTTTTTTTTTGCTGCCCATTCTGTTGGTTTTTGTCTTTTGCCCTTCTCCCCCGTCCCTCTTCTCAGCTGTTTCTCTTTCCCTCTTTCTTTCTCCCCTTCTTTCCCCCAGTCAAGTCTGTCCCGTATTCAGTAAGTGAAAATAAAATAAACAATAAAAGGTGAATCAAATGGACCATTACGGCAAGGCTGGGATGGTCAGTTTGGTAAAGCAAATCCGTTGGGCATCTTTCTTTGCCTTTAGACAACAATTCTGATGGCAAAAGAGCCAAACGGGACAGGCCAAAAAACAAACAAACAAACAAACAAACAAACAAACAAACAAACAAACAAACAAACAAAATAACATGTCAGTTAATCTGACACATTTAGCTGCATCTCATATTAGTTTCTTTCAGTGTCCTCTCTCGGCTTTCCAGCTCCACCTTCTCGCTGCTTCTTCCACACCATACATTTTCTTCAAGGTGCAGCGAAGGTAGGAGAGGGGCCGGTAGCGTTAGGACATTTGATTGGCTAATCCAGTTTCACTAATGAAAATGAACGAATGGGCTGCTGCCATTTCTTGTATGGCTGGTGCGCAGCGGGCACTTCAGGCCGTCCCATCGGCCCAAAAGTGAGTCGGACTCGGCTCACCGGGAAAATGCCCGGTACGTGCCCACTGGGCTAAATTTCATATATATATATACTTTGCTTGTAGCTTTGAGCTTTGGTTGGAAAGCTCAAAGCTTTGATTGGAAAATGTCTATTCAACCACTTGTTTCACGGGAAGTTTATAAATATAAATGTACATATCCATAAATGTGATTTTCCATAGCTATAAATTTGTCGATGCAAATAAAAACAGAACAGAATGGTTGCTTTTATTTTGAAAGAAAATCCGCGATTGCTACGTTGATCCACAAAGGCGGAAGTTGCGGCACATCCTGTTTGTGCATGACGTTAACTGTTCCGGTTATCTACCCGGGTTGACACTTTTTAGTTGTCTTTATTACTTTCACTGG